CATTAATTTAGTTTTGAGTTATTTTTTTTTGTCAACTATTTTTGAATTTATGATTAGGTGCTGATTTTATTCAGTATTCAATTATATTATGAAGTTTATCTTATTTTATATTTTATTGTATAGTTATTTTATAATTTTATTTTTTATATTTAATCGTGAATGACCTCATTTAACTCATAATCTAGATAATCTAAATTTGCGTTTATATATTGAAGTTCATATAGAAAATGAGTTGAGTTGGGTTATCTCATGAAAGACCAAATTCACTATGAACTGAGCTGAATTGAAAGATGTAATTCGTTTTGACACCCCTAATTATAGGCTTATAGCTAACCAAACAAATCAAATTACAGTAAAAATTCTACAAATTAATAATTGTGAGCTTATGATATTTTATTAACTCATAGATATTAGCTTACAAAAAAAAATTGTTTTCAGATAAAGAAAATAATTACTTTAACTATGTATAAACTAATTTTAGAAATTCAACTTTCCTATTTATTATATTATATTTTTATATTTTTTGTTGAACATGAAAAATTTAAAATTTAAATGTGGTATCATTTTACTAAATATTATCAAAATTATATTGAAAGCTTAATAAAATAAGGATGAACCCATTGTGAACATTATAGTGTGTTTTGTATATTTATATAAACTGTAAAAAATATTAGTTTATGATTTTAATTAAATTATATATTGACATAAAATTTTCTAAAAACTAATTATCTTATGATTCTATTAATGTAATATTTTAAACTGATCTAACTCAAAACTGATAAAGGTTATTAATTAACTAGGGTTAAGCCAGCTTTACGGGCGGGTGAACAAAATAAAAATAAAAAAAATACATTTTAAGATTTATTGGTGACTGAAAATAATTAATTTTCAAGATATTTTTAGTTTTTATTGTTAGAAATCACATGCTTGTAAATTTTTTTAATTAATGTAAATATTTTTATTTTTTGTTATGTTTATCATAAAAATAAGAAAAATATTCATAAACTATTTAAATCCAATACATAAATCATTTATTATTTCTATTTTATACATTTATTTTAGATGTTAAGTTATTTAATTTTTTTTGTTCTATAAATAATTATTTTTTTTCTTTAGTAGCTGACTATTGATTTGCATGAATATGCTTTCTATTATATATTTTTTTAACACTTTTTTAAAAATATTTTACTATCATTAGATATGAATTATTTTATTTAATTACTATTTGTATCAGTTTCTATTAAAAAAATTAATGCTTTGATATTCGGTCTTAATATCATTGCAAAAACTTAATTTCATAATAAAATTATTGATATACTTTAGTGAGACTAGAATATTCTTATTTTGGAACTATAGAATTTTTGGTGCATTTGTCTTATTTTAGATTATATAGTTTGATTTCTACGATTATTTTATCTTATTTTTTATAGCGTCTCTTTTTGTGTTTTACAAATAATATGTTTTTAATTTTCATGTCCATATTAAATTTATACTTGAAGATTTTAGGGAGTTCATAACATATGTACGATTTCTCTTTTATAACATTTATTTATATATACAACAATCTTTGATCTCTTGTTATCATAAGAAAAATTTTTATCGCTTGTTCATTATTGTTTTATCTGTTATATATTATTTTATCTGTTATATATTATTTTATGTTTTTTCACTAATTGTTATTGAAGTCTTTATTTTAATTATGTATTGCTTTTGGCTATAGGTTTTCATTAATTTCTTGTTAACAATTAGGTATCAAGTTTTATCTTAATGTGTTTGTTAACTACTAATTTTCCCAAATTAAAAGTTAGTAATAAACACACAATGCCTAATACTTATAAGTACTAGGTGATTTTCCCGTGCTCATGCACGGACATAAATATTTATAAAATAAATATATTATAATAATTGATTGATATTTACTTCAAATTTAAAATTAATTTATAGTTTGTAGGTATAATTTATATTAATAATATTATATTAATTATATATAACTTTAGATATGTTATACTTCGTCAGTTTTATTGTTTTTACGGTTGATTTAGTTATCATTGAGATATATTAGATTCTATCTATTTCTCCAAATTCAACTATAATCTTTTTTACTCTAAATATATTAAGTTTTTGATTAATTGTCTTAGTTGCATTTATGTCGGTTGTTATCTTAGAAATATAAGTATATTCTGATTCTAAATTACATACTTAAGTAACTAAATTTTTTTTTGCAACTTATGAACACATATCAATATTTACAATATTTAGAATGATTAGATGGTAAACTAAAATTTATTTTAAATAATTTTAAAAATAAGGATTCTGATTTGCTTAAGTATTTTGATTATGGTTATATTAAGTTCCACCAACATGAAAACATAAAATTAAAAATCAAAAGAGTTATTAAGAAAACATATAATTTTAACTATTAAAATATAATATATCTACTTCGATAAATTATATAATGGTATGATATTTTAAGATAATTGTAGTTATTTGATCAAAAAATGTTTATTATTAAAATTCATTTTTAGTTTTGTTTTTAATATCTCTTAAAATATGCAGTAAAAATGGTATTGTTTTTGAGAAATTATATTATATAAGTAAATAGAATTTATATTTTTTCTGTAACTGTAAGATGTTATAGTCAAAAATATACTAAAATAAAAAATATATATTTCAAGAATACTAATTATAATTTTTTTTGTCAATTAAACATATATCAGTTTATGTTACTTAATTATTTTATGTAATCATCTAATAAAATAGATATATACAAAAACAAATACTTTGAAAATTTATATATTTATTGTTTAAAATTATTTTTTAAAATAAAAAATATCTTTTTTTATAATATAAAGATTAGTTGTGTGAACTTTTTTTATGAAATCACATTGAAGATATAGTTATAAAGTATTTTATTATTTCAAAATTATATTTTATGTTATTTAAAATATATTTAAAATAAATATTACTATTTTGTGAACTTTCTATTTTTATGAAGCCATATTTATATATACTTATATTTTCGTTTTTAAATAGTTTTGTAAACTTTATACATGTTTCCTTTTTATTTTCTAGTGTTATTTGGAAAAAAATTAAAAGGAAATAATAATATTTAAATGTATTTTCTAATTTATTAGGGGTATCATAGTAATCAACCAACGTGAAAATTAACGTGAGCGCGACACATAAGAAATTGACTTCTCAAATAATATTATAGAGATAATTTAAGATTCTGGTAATATCATATTTATACTTCAGACCAGGTTAGAAATCTGAAAAGTTCAGTAGGTATGTGTTAATAAATGTTGTTTTCTTAACTAAAGAGGTTCCATTATTGAACCGAATGGAGAAAGGGGAATCCAACATCCGGAAATTGGGGTTGTTGCGCGTTACATCGAACCCGGTCAACTTGTAGACTGACCTTTCGCTGAGACGCTGCATGAACATGAATTGACGGTTCACATTAACAGAACCTTGAATAACCGTCGACTGTTAGAAATGACAAATTATTTTTTTAGACAATCAAAATGGAACCAATCGTCAACAGCGTTAATCAGAAAGAAGATGCTTACATTCTCTTCGATGAAGAGCATGTCTAGACTCATGAGCTCACCGCCTTTCTTCACATTTCTGGCCTCCCAAAACTTCAGCAAGTGAACTTCGGTGGTGTTGGAGCAGCGCCTGACTTTCAAATCAACAAAGAGGATGGAATAAATCACCATTGTAGCAATCAGAAAGTTGAACGACCTTTTCTTCTAATAAGATGGTTTCAATGATCCAGATTGGGTTAATCATTTATAAAATAGGAGGAAAGAAGGTGTGAATCAAGCGTGCGTCAAGACGTTACGGAGAGTTGATAATTTATTTCGATACCTACAGTCCTCGTCGACTGATCTAGGGATCTCAAACGATGATGACGAACAAACCTATAATATTAAAGGATCTCTATAATCCGAAAGTTTAAATACAATCTACAACAATAAAACCCCAAAACAAATATACATTTTACCAATAATATAATTTTTTCTAAAATAATATAAATTTTTCTAAAACCCAATAAATGATTTCTTAAACTTTAAGGAAGTGACACATAACATTTTTTGTCCCCTATGGAAAAAAAAAGCTAACATTATTATATAAGATGGTATATTAATTTATAGATTCTCTATATATAAGTCCAAATAGAAACATCAATCATACTAGTTATTTTTCTGCACCATACGCAGAAATAAACATGTTTAAATTATATAAGAAGATAGTTTTTTTTTGTTAGTTGTTTAGATTTTATTATTTTTAACAATATGTTAATTTTAATATAATTAAATGTAAGAATTTAAGATAAATTAATATTTTTTTTAATTTTAAATGTATATTAAAAATACATATACCGTATATAGATATTTGAAATTATAATTTTTAATATATTTATCTTATTGGTTAAAATATATTAGATCGGGTTATATATAATTAAAAGAAATTTTGTTAGATAATTAACTACCAAAACATAAAACTAAATAGTATTTATAAAATTTCTAGATATCAAAAAGAAACTGATTGTATCATGATTAGTAAAAATTGTATAATTATAAATAATATAATTCAATAATATTTCAACATTTTAAATTATTTTTATATTTATGTTTCTACTATTATATTTTTGTATTATATTAGCGATAATTTATGAGCTATTAGAATATTCTAAAATATTTACCAAAAATATAAATTAATTTTCAATATAAATGTTCATGTTACAATTAATTTCATGTCATATAATTTTTTAGTAAGTTATATTATCTTTTTCTAATGAAAAGAAGTGTTAGACGAAAATGAACGTAGTTCATGAGACATAAACAAACATAAAAGAGACATAAACAAACTTAAAAAATCACTTCTCTGGATCTTTAAACTAAATGGGCCTAAAAGGAAAGGCCCAGTAATAATCCGAAACCCAATTAGTCGGCGAAAACCTCAATTCATTCTTCTCCTGGAGCTAGAAACCTCCAGACTTGAAAAAAAAAACAAAATCCAAAACCTCAGATTTAGGAATCGGCGAAGTCTAATAGATGACGACTCGAATAGCGCCGGGAGTGGGAGCAAATCTCTTGGGACAACACTCAGCTGAGAGGAACCAAGAAGCTACTGTTTACGTCGGCAACCTCGACCCCCAGGTTCCCTACCAAACTTTAGGTTTCTCCGATTTCGTTCTTCTTTGTGTGTCCTTACTCAGTTTCTAATTCTCTGTAGCTTTCTGAAGAATTGCTTTGGGAACTGTTCGTACAAGCAGGTCCTGTTGGTAAGTTTCAATCTCGTTTAGTTGCTAGTCATTATAGGGTTTGGTTATACCTAGAAGATCTGATTTGTTTTATTTTGGGGGGTTTGATTCAGTTAACGTGTATGTACCGAAAGATAGGGTGACAAGTCTTCATCAAGGTTATGGATTCATTGAGTTCCGTAGTGAGGAAGATGCTGACTATGTAAGTCCTCTTCTCCTTTTTCTTTCTTGGAGGAACAATTGTTAATGTTTTCTTTCCTTGTGTGCAGGCAATTAAGGTTCTTAACATGATTAAAATCCATGGGAAGCCTATTCGTGTTAACAAGGTATCATATTTTAGTGTTTACTAGCATTTTTTACTAGTTTGCTAACATTTTTTTTGTTTTATTTGTGTATTTAGGCGTCTCAAGATAAGAAGAGCTTGGATGTTGGTGCTAACCTTTTCATTGGCAACCTTGACCCTGTAAGTTTTTATCTTGGTCGTTGTCGTCTTTATCCACTTTCAACTATCTATTCAAAGCTGACCAGGTTTTACGTTACAGGATGTGGATGAAAAGATCTTGTATGATACTTTCAGCGCTTTTGGTGGCATTGCTTCTAATCCTAAGGTATACAATCTTTAATCTTTGTTAAATTTGAGTTCATTCTGGTTGATGTCTTATCTGATTAATATACCATTTGTTTGGGAAAAGAATGGCTGCTTGAGAATCTTATGCTCCCAACTTTTCATTTCAGATAATGCGAGATCCTGATACCGGCAACTCTCGAGGTTTTGGTTTCATCAGTTACGACTCTTTTGACGCTTCTGATGCTGCTATTGAGGTCAGTCTCTTATCACTTGGCTACGAGAATGAGTTCCAACATATTTCAAAGAGTCACCTAATCCAATGAATGTATATTGCAGGCAATGACGGGACAATATCTGTGTAATCGTCAAATAACCGTATCTTACGCATACAAGAAAGACACCAAAGGAGAGCGCCATGGTACTCCTGCAGGTTAGGCTCTCGTGCTCTTTACTTGTTTCAGTTATTCATATGAATCTTTCTCTATATTAATGGAACAACAACACATGGCTTTTATGAATGCAGAGAGGCTTTTGGCTGCCACAAATCCAGTTACCCAGAAAAGCAGACCCCATACTCTCTTCGCTAGCGGCCCGCCAACGCTTCTCAATGCTCCTCAAGCTAATGGTGTTCCACGTCCCTTTGTCAATGGCGCCATGCAACCTGTTCAAATCCCAGGCCCCCGTCCGACACCACCACCACCTCCTCCACAAGTCTACCAAACTCAGCCACCATCTTGGCAACAACCTCAGCCGCATCAACAACAACACGGCTTAGCTGTTCCACCCCCCATGCAATTCCGTCCTGCTCAGGGAATGCCACCACCACCACCTCCGCAGTTTCTTCATCATCAACAAGGTTTCGGCGGTCAAAGGCCGCCACCACCACCACCTCAAGCCATGGGAATGCACCAACATGGATGGCCGCCGCAGCACATGCAGCAAGGTGGACCACCGCCGCCGCAACACATGCAGCAAGGCGGACCACCACCGCCGCAACACATGCAGCACCATCATCACATGTCTATGCCTCCACCACAGCCACCACACCAAGGCTGAGTGTTGGGCCATCTGTAAACGCTTTCTTTCATAGTAATCACAAGGATTTTTCTCACTTTGCTTTTAGATTCTGAGAAACCTTCCCTTATCCTAAACTACAAGAGACAGAAAACACAGTATGCTATATTATCTGAATGACTTGTCTCATTCTCTGCAAGAGAATCTCTCATCTTTGGTCTGGTAAGCGATAGAGACGGAGAGGGTGGAACTAGTCCTTATGTCTGGTTTTCAGTGTTTTATTGCATAATCTTTGATGCCGTGTGCTTAGAATTTGACCAAAACTTTGCTGTTAGAAACTCAGTTTTTTTACTTTCTGTCCGTTGAAGTTATTTTTTTACACTAACAAAGCAAAAGAAAATGAAATAGAAGTGATTAAAGCGAGGTCGTTTGCTGTCCAAGTTATGAACCCATTCTCTTTTTTTTTTTTGAACAAATGAACCCTTTCTCTTTGCTCACCTTTCCTTGCCCAAACTCCAATTCTTTACCCACCATCATCTTTACTCGCCTTTCCTTGCCCAGACTCTAAATTAGGGAGATATGTTTATAGAAAATTAGAGAAACATTTGATAAATTTTGTGGTAGAAACATATCTCCCTAATTTAGGCATTTAGGATTTGTTTTTAAGCTGCAAAAAGTTTGATTCGCTTACATTATGATTTGGAAAATAATCACAAAACTAAATTTCAGTTTTATAATATGATATGACTTTTTCTGTTAAAAGTACTGTTTTGTTACTTGCTTTATAACAAGTTTACTTGGATTGTGCCAGTAATATGTAAAAAAGGCCAAATGACATTTGATGTGCTCTTTCAGAAAACGAAACCGAAAAAGGAGAGGTCTACCTACCATTTAAACTTGTTTCACCATGCCACATATAAATCGTACCAACAAATAGTTGGGCCAATCTTGATGGCCTCCGTTTCATTCCAAATGTGCATCCATCATTTTGCTTTCCACTCAAGATGCTTTTTCCCACTCTAAATTTATATCAACATCTACCCACAGATAAAAACTGTTTTTTTGTTGTAAATAGTAGATGTTGATCCCTAACTTCGACCAACATACAAGTTATCAATCATTACACCATTCTTTATTTTATAGTTGAAGTCATTATAAGAAACCATAGTTAGGTTTATTAATGAAAAAAAAACTACCAAAATGAAATAAGCCATCAACATTTTTGAAACGGTAAGTGAAAGATTTATTTTTAACAGCATCAGAAGTGATGGTTAACTTCTTGAATGGAAGGAGATTGTTGTAGGTTTTTAAAAGAGGTTACGATCGATGGATAAACTTAAAAATGACGTTAATTATTTTTCTTTTTTTTTTTGATATTTTTGTAAAGAATAGAAGAAATATTGAATAAAGTAGAACAAGTATGATTTTCCCATGTGATCTAACCTACCCAAGCTATCATTTGTACCGGAAAGTCCCCAAAACTTGTCTTTCCGGCTGTGACTGTCAAATGCATCCCAAATAATGTTCACAAGTTCACTTTGAATTTCTCTTTCTCATCTTCCAGAAGATTTCTCTTTTTATCATTGATGAAAATAATTTTTCTGTCACACTGGTTGGACTCGAACTTTATATACATATAACTGATTTAAGTCATTGACCACCTTAAAACAACAAATATTTGGATTGAAAAGAAAACTAATAAAAAAACTAGATGTACATGAAGCCAGTATTAAATTGTGAATTTTGGTTGTAGTATATCCTCGAGGATTATCTTGTTAAAAGGGCAAAAACACATTCCGTCGATTCTTAATTGGCATTCAATAATTAAGAGTTTCTTTCTGAATGTCTGGTTGAATTTATCGTTTATGACCCAGCAAAATAAGAAAAGGTGGTTAAGTTTATCATTTCTTACCCAACATATTTGCTTAACTTCATATATGATTTCTTCCAAGCTAGTGATAATCGTTCATGTTTTGATTTGTGATAGACTGATAGTAGCTACATATGTTCAGTCAAAAAAAAAAAGATAGTAGCTACATATGTCTTTAAACTGAAAAGGTGAACGTATGCAATATGCATTTATTTGGGTATAAATTAAAAACTATTTTCGTCAGGTTCTTTCCTTTCCAGTTCACCATAATTAACTACATAAGAGACTCTCTATTATAGAGTTTGCAAAATTCTATATTTGAAGTTTGAAGGTGTTATACTCCAAAAGTAAAACTTCAAACCTAACTTTAAAAATATTTATATTTTATAAATGGTCCTTATATTTGTCATAACTAATTCAAATTCATAAAACTTTTTTAAATAACTATCATGTATTAAAATATTATAAAAATATTTTTTGATAAAATGTTACACTAAAATATAAAACTCTAAACAGAAATATACAATTAAATATTAAAGTACAAGCAAAATATCATATTATAACATGTAATATTGTTGTTGTCTAGTTTTAGTTTTAAAATATTTTAAAGATTATTTTGATGTTTTTAAAAAATATATATATAAAATTTAAATTTAGTTAAATAATTTTGAATTATTTATGAAATAAGAATTTTTAAGGATTAACATGATAAAAATAAAATATTCAAAAGTATTATAAATATGATGCGAAATTGTAAGGACCAAAATGAAAATAAAATATGAAACTTCAAATTTGAAGTTTTGAATAGTGACACTCTATATTTGAAGTTTCACTACTCAAAACTTGAAATTGAAGTTTTAGAGTTCCTTTTTGGAGAGATAAAAACTTCATATTTGAAGTTATAGAGTGTCTTTTGGAGATGTTCTTACCAAAAAAACACTATATTTTAGAGTTTGCAAAACTTTATTTTGAAGTTTCAATATGTTCTTCTCCAAAAGCAAAACTTCAAATCTAACTTTAAAACTATTTATATTTTACTTTATGGTCCTTATATTTTTCATAATTAATATAAATTCATATTTTTTATAAATAACTAACATATATATGAAAACATAAGAATAATATTACTTAAAAAATATTTACTCTACAATATAAAACTGTAAATATAAATACATAACTAAATAATAAAATACAAACAAAATATCACATTATTTCATAAAATTATTTCCATTCCATCTTCAGTTACACAATACTTATTTAGATAATTTTTTTTTTTTTTTTTTATCATCAACAAAAACACAGACTCATATGGACTCTGCGAACCAAACCGGTAGCTCTGTATCCATGTGAACAACGAAAGACGGTTGTTTTCTCGCACTGCGTGCTAGACTGTCCGCCTGTGAATTCAGTGTCCTTGGTACATAGATGATCGTCGAGCTGTGGAAACTCTCCTTGAGCGTCTTGATATCTTCTAGATAATTTGCAAAAGCTGGCCATTCATCCGGTTCGGACACCATCTTCACCAACTGAGAACAGTCTGTTGCAAACGTAACGTGATATTGTCGTAAATTCCTCATACTCTCCATTGCCCAGATAAACGCTTCCACCTCAGAATGAAGCGGTGAGAGGCTAGCTCTAACATTTCTCGCTCCCATTAAACCCACAAAACCTTCAAGGGTGCTATACCAACCATGTCCATCAAACACATCTTTATCTTTCCATGAACCATCAATAAAACACCAGCGTCCTGGTATTGACGAGATGATCTCGATTATCCCTTGTCCTGTCTGTATTTCACGTTGATTAAATTTTATTTGGGCCTCCTCCCACAGAGTGGATTCCGTCTCTGCCAATGCGAGTGTGTCCTTCGGATCAATGTCCAAATTACTAAAAGTTTTGTTATTTCGGCCTTTCCAAATGTACCACAATATCCATGCGAAATGATGATCGTCCATTTTAGGAGTAACCCGCCAAAATAAGTGGTCTATATTTGTAAACAAAGAACCTGTAGGAAAAGTTAATGGGTTCAAAGGAATCTTTGACAATGCCCAAACTTGTCGTGCTGGTGGGCATTCAAAAAAAACATGGTTCACTGATTCTTCCTCAGCGCCACATCTGTCACAATATATATATCACCTTTTATCCCTCTTGCCTGTAGATTTTTCTTAACCGCAATACAACCCGATAGCAATTGCCATAGAAAATGCTTAATCTTGGGAGGACACCTTACCTGCCAGCAGAATGCTTTTAGAGAATCTACTGTGGGTCCGTGAATCTCAGTCAGCGGTCCTCTATCTGGGTATACCCTTTCAACCTGATAGCCTGATTTAACTGTGTACTTTCCGTTCTTAGTGAAATGCCATCCCTCCTTATCAACCATGTGTACCCTGCTAAGTGGAATACTTTCTATTATTTTCACATCCTGAGGGTCAACTAGAGCTCGAATAACCGGCATGTTCCAAGTCCGCGTTTCCGTATGAATAAGGGAATCCACTGTGAGTTCCGGAGTAAAGTTTTGTTGATAATATTTTGGTGATTTTGAAGGTTTCAGAGAAAATTTACCATACTATTAATATTGTTGCAATATTTAAATTTATGTAATAACTATGCTTTTCATTTACCTTTTTAAAAAGTTTTTTTTTTTTTGTAATATTCGTGAAGTCTAATTTTAGTTTTAAAATAATATCAAATTTTAGTTTTATGTATAAAACTTAAATTTATAAAAACACATCTGAAATATTTATAAGATATAAAAATTTTAAGGATTAAAATGTTAAACGAGAAAATATTGAAAAATCATAAATATAATATATAATTAATTGTAAGGATCAAAATGATAATAAAAGTTGAAACTTCAAAATTGAAGTTTTGAGAATCGAAACTTCAAATATGAAGTTTCACTCCTTAAAATTTCAAATTTGAAGTTTTGAAGTTTCTTTTTGGAGAGCCAAAAACTCTATATTTAGTGTTATAAAGTGTCTTTTAGAGATGCTCTTAGAACACCCCCATCAAGGGTTGATGGGGGGAGTTCACACGGAAACCGAGAAAAAAAAACAATATTAAAATCAGATTTCTATGAACCCCTCTCTCAAAAGTTCACCGCGGTGAACCCCGATGACCCCGGGTTCACCACGTGTCAACATATGATTGGTCCAAAATTAATTTTTTTTTTTTTTTTTTTTTTTAAAGTAAATGAAAATAACAAAAAAAAAATTATTTTTTTATTTCTATGAACCCCCAAGGGGGGGTTCATCAATGTGGGTGCTCTTAGAGCATCTTCAAAAAGACAAACTTTTATTTTTAAAGTTTTAAAGTGTTCTTCTCCAAAAACAAAACTTCAAATCTAATTTTAAAACTATATGTATTTTACTCTATGGTCCTTATATTTGTCATAATTAATATAAATCCATTATTTTATAAACAACTAGCACATATATAAAAAATATAACAATAATATTTAAAAATATTAATATTAATTTAAAAATATTTACTCTAAAATATAAAAATGTAAATACATAACTAAATAATAAACTACAAACAAAATATCACATTAATTCATAAAATT